ATCAGCCATTGTTTGTTCCCAGTCAAGTGGTTTGAACAACCAGTGTCCATATACCACCAATCTTCTGAACAGTTTCCATCAGAATCAGAAGCCATCAGTAGCACAAGTTCATCATCAGAATCTTCTCTGGCTATATTTGCTTCTTCTGATTTCCTTCCTCTGTTTCTACAGTCTTTGGCAAAATGGTCAAACTGTTTACAACAGTAACATTGAACCTTCTTCTTGTCATACCTTTCCTTTCTCTTATGATATTTCTTTTCATCAGAAGTTGAGGTTTCTGACTTCTGGAATTTATCACCATGTCTATTCTGCTTCTGGTCCTTCTTGACAAAAGAAGCTTTCAGAGCTTGCTCCACTTCCCTCTCAGAAGTTCTTTCAGTCAGACGCAACTCTTGCGCTTCTAGACTGCTTTGCAACTCTTATATTCTCATGGTTTCCAGATTTTTAGAATGTTCAATTGAAACAACAATGTAATCAAACTGAGGAGTAAGTGACCTCAGAATCTTTTCTATGATTACCTGTTCAGAAAGTGTTTCTCCACAAGCCTTCATCTCATTAGTGATCAGAATCATTCTGGAGATGTACTCAGAAACTTTCTTACTGTTCTTCATGCTGAGATTTTCATATTGTTTTCGCAGGGACTGAAGCTTTACCTTCTTTACTGACACGTCACCACTATAACATCTAGTCAGTATATCCCATGCCCCTTTCGACGTCGTCGAATCAACAATCTTCTCAAACACATTTTCATCCACACACTGATGGATAAAGAACAGAGCTTTCTGATCCCTCTTCCTTGTAGCTCTTTCTTCTGATTTTTGTTCTTCAGTAGCATCTGCTGCAACTGGAACATAACCTTCAGAAATAAGGTCCAGAACATCCTGAGCACCAAACAGCACACACATTTGTATCTTCCATTTGTTCCAGTTTTTGCCATCAAAAACTGAAAGTTTAGTGTTCAAACTACTGCCTCCATTCATCTTAAACCTTGCACACAAAAAAACTCAGATCTCAGATTTCTCAGTCAGTGTTTCCCAAACCCACAGAATCAGTGTGATTCTGTTTCAGATTTTTGTTCAAGATTCAAAAATCAAACACACAGCTCATTATCACTCGTGTTTCCCAGAATTTCAGAATAAACCAAGAGCTCTAGATACCAATTTGTTAGTGCAAGGTGATGAAATTGAGGAAGAGGAGAGAAAAGGAATAAATGCTAAAGGCTGCCACTAATGATTGAAGGAATTGATTGTATTAAATGTAAACCTAGTACACCTATTTATACACAAAAATAGTAAAGATAAGAATGCCACATAAGGCCTAATGAGAATATCCAACATATGACAAATACTAAATTACCCTCTAATATATTGTAGTTGGTAAGAGTGGTACACGGTTCAATATAGTATTGTTAGTGATCATCCCCACACTGACAGTCTGAGGTGGAGCCTTCTGTCAGAAGGAAGATTGAAATGCAATATAGATGCGGGTTTTAACATTCGCCAGGGTATTACCGATAGAGGTTGGTGTGTGAGAGACAACTTGAGAACTTTTGTTATCGTAGGGGCAGCTAGGGACTTTGGTCTCTATCCAATTCTTGAAGCGGAAGTTATGGCCCTTAAAAAAGCTATCCAAAATACTATGGATTTAAACTTGAAAAATTTTACCTTTGAAAGTGACTCCCAAAGAGTTGCTCAGCAATTAGTACCAATCAAAATGGTTTTTCCGAGTTTAATTTTATTATCTCTTCTATTCAAAATTTACTGCTATTTTGTCCTAACTTTGAGATAAAGTTTATCAAACGTCAAGCCAATTTTATTTTCAAAAACTATTTACTCTATGAATATCAAGACAATAATAATAATAAGCATATCTGAATAAGAGGGAGACATTCCTCTATGCCAAACAATGACTAATATCAATGGTGCATATTTGTTTGTCCGATGCTGGAGAGAAAGGTACAACAACAATAAGCAGCCTTATCCCATTAAATAGGGTGGCTAAATGGTTCAACTTCCACTATAATATTTTATCCATGACCATGTGTTTATCTAAAAATGCTTCGCAGGATTTTGTTGGCAGCTCTAGATCAGGCTCAAATTCACTTTGTAAGAAGTACCGATCCACCATATCTTGTGACACCTTTTCCAAGGTTGGAGGATCCCACTACATATATTTAATTGACAATCATATTTGGATTTTAAATCCATTTTTGTGATACCAATTGAGAGAAATTAGTCTATAAAAAAGAATTTGCATTAAGCCAATGAACTTAAAATTTGAAGAAAAACAATGTAATGCAAGTGAATGGTACCTGTGGTGCCATGTCCTTGTCCACCATGCGCGCCCTCACTCCCTAAAAGAAATTCAAATCAACTTATGTTGAAAAAGACGCAAAATCTGTTTCAGTTTCCAGAAATTCAGTGTCTATACCTCACAGAAGTCACCAGATATTTGTTTAGATATTGCTTGTAAAGTCACTCGGTACTCACGCAACAAGCACTGATCAAGGGTCTGGAATCTACCTTCTCGTATCTGTCACAGTTAGAAGGATTTCATTATAGAAGCAGTTTGTTCTAAGAAAAGAAGAGAAAGAAAACAGGAATCCAAGGAACTCACAGATCTCAAGGAAACCTTCAAGCTCAATGGAGAAGCTTCGTTAAGTCTATTTAGGGTAGAAATGCACCATGCATCTTTTGTTTCACTTGCCGCAACTTCCTATTGGAAATTTGAGAATGATAAACATAAAAGGAAAAGATATATTATTCATCCAAACCACAAGATCTCGAGATTAACGAATTGAATAAAACATGGTCTTTGATAGAGAACATTATGACGTAACTTGATCCATATAGCCGAGTCTGCTTAGTGGGATAAAGCTTGGTTGTTGGTTGGTTTAAACTCTCATGCAACATATGAAGAAATAAAAAATTCTCAATATAAAAAACTGAGTCGAAGGCCCTTAATTATCATTTTCAGAAAAAAGAATGTAAATCTTACCAATGCATCAACAATCTCTTCAACTGTGTCATGGCAAAAGCATTTATCTACAATTTCAAGCCTGAAAATAAAAGCAGATGAGTTATTTAATATTGTGAGCCAATATATAAGCAAAGTAACCGAATAAAAGATAGACCAAACCTTTGTAGTACACTACTGCTGTCTGGATATACAAGATCGCCATACTGTTCTAAAGTGGTTTCTATGACAGATGGATCATCAGTAACCAATTTCCCCAGCTGTTCTTCAATTAGTGGAAGCCTCTACGAGACACGACACTCAAAGGTTTCAAATGCCATATAGAAAGAACAAAGAAGAGTTTATTACAATTGAAATACTGATAGAAAGATAGAAAGAGAAAGAAATAAGGTGTGTAGCGAATAATGTGTGGCAAGCCCACATGCAACCATCTCAACTCCGTTGAGCTTTTCTCCTGTCAGAGCCAAGTACTCTCCTGCATACAATAGCAACCAGTGAAACAAAGAAAAACTAGCAGGGATGTTCATCAATTGAATCTTCAATTGGTCACTATTTCTTGAACCAATGAATTTCCCAACAATCATGTATGTTAAAAATACAGTTTTGTCTGTTGCAACTCGGAATGTACCAGGGATTGAAATTCCTCCCCCACTACCCATGGTAATACCATTCAGAAGAGCAACCTGAACAAGCATATCATTCATAACCAAATCAACAAGTAGAAATTATTTTTCAAAGAAAAACAGCAGATATGAAATGAGAACAAATAATTGACCAGCCTCCAAATACTGTACTCACATGTGGCTTCAAATATGTACCTAGCAGGTATATAAAACTGTATACTGTTGTAACCAATTCTTTGCAGGCTTCTATGTTCCCTGCATATGTAAAAATGCAAAAGTTAAAAGAAACTGCATATTATGCATCAGCAAAAGCACATCTAAAATACAAGGAATAAAAAACCTAAAACTAGATTGTTAGAAAAATCTGAACCTTAATCTATGAATGCAACCTATAGTTTCTCTTAATTTCCAAGGGTCTACCATCTCAGAATTTTCAAGACCAATTTGAAAACATTCATCTACCAAACATAAATTTTAGAACCACAGAAACAACTAAGACAGTGGAATAATATTCGAGGCAGTAAAACTTCCCCATACAGATTTCACAAATTTCTTACCTTCTTTCATAAAATGGTAAAGCGCGACAATATCTCCACCAGCTGCAAATGCCCGGCCAACGCCCTAAAGAAAATTCAAAATACCATATAAGTTTGACCTCATTATAAACCTAAGCAGAAGATATCACAGTTAGCATGAGTTGTATGTCGAAAATCAATCGTCCAACAACAACATTTTCAACATATCATCAATTAGCACAACAACATATACAACATCATCTAGTCAACAATTACGCAATGTCACATAATATGTAGTGCAATAACAGACTCATGCATGTCGTACCCTCCAAAGATCTCCACCATAGGATTGATACCCTCTTGAAACCGGAGCACAACATCAACACACTCAATCAAAACAATGAGATTGAGACCAACACTAGACCAACGTCCTAAATCAATATGGGCTGACCAAAGCTGTCCAAACTATGTCATGAATGCATGATGCGCAATAACATAATATCAAACGACCACAACTAGTCAAATCGCATCATCATTCATGAAATCATCAACTAAATCCAATACTTCATAGTTACAACATATTACCATCATAGCAACCAACACATTAATGTATCAACAACTCATCATAGCAACATACATCATGATAGACTACCTCATTAAGAATCTAAGTCTACCTTAGCCTAGGTACTGGAAATATACATCTTTTTACTCATTTTATTCCATCCACTGGTAGTTCATCACGTTAGCTATCCAACGCTTCGAACGACGCCTCAAACAGAGTTCTAAAACTCAAGTTATAGTCCTTTAAAAATCCTAATGTTATCTGTTGCCTGTTGCCTGTTGCTCGCCCGACGAAGCAGTCTGCTCACCTGAGGCTCGTCCGGCGATGTGGGAGCCACAACACCACCATTCTCCTCTGGTCTCTATCGCATGACAAAGCCCCTTGCTCGCCTGGCGACATATCTCTCGCTCATGCATCGCCCAACGATGGTGCGAGCGAGACAGTCCAGTAGCATCACTTCTCCATCCCTTCCTTTGCCTCTCTGCTCGTCTGACGATGACCAGACGATGTTACTTTGCTCGTCAACACATCCCATCGTCCGGCGACACGTAGCGAACTGCAACTTCCTATTGCGATTCTACACCTGTTCAGCCCCAATAGAAAGTTGCGGCAAGTGAAACAAAAGAACCATGGTGCATTTCTACCCTAAATAGACTTAAAGAAGCTTCTCCATTGAGCTTGAAGGTTTCCTTAAGATCTGTGAGTTCCTTTTGCTCGACTGATGGTGTCTATACATTTTGAGTTCATGTTTTCTCTCTTATTTTCTTAGAAAAAAATTGGTTCTATAATGCAATCCTTCTAATTGTGACAGATACGAGAAGGTAGATTTCAGACCCTTGATCAGTGCTTGTTGCGCGAGTACCGAATGACTTTACAAGCAATATCTAAACAAATATCTGGTGACTTCTGTGAGGTATAAACATTCTGAGTTTCTGTAAACTAAAACAAAGTTTTGTGTCTTTCTAAACATAAGTTGATTTGAATCTCTTTTAGGGAGTGAGGGCACGCATGGTGGACAAGGACATGGCAGCAAAGGTACCATTCACTTGTATTACATTATTTTTCTTCAGATTTTGAATATACAAGTTCTTCTTAAGACTTAAATTTTCTCTATTGATATCTCAAAAATTTATTTAGAATCCAAATTCATGTTATGATTGTGAATTAAATTTATGCAGTGGGATCCTCCAACCTTGGAAAAGGTGTCACAAGATATGGTGGATCAGTACTTCTTACCTCTAAGTGAATTTGAACCTGATCTAGAGCTTCCAACAAAATCCCGGGAAGCATTTTTTTAGCTTATCTTTCTCTGTGGAATCCGATAAAGAGTTATACAACATTGATATTTTTCTGGGAAAACATCAAGCATGAACTTATTGGCAATCTGATGGACATGGTAGACACTGGATTTCCACATGTAGATTGTAAAATTTATGGATTGTGAAACAGCTTTAGTCTTTGTTTGGCATAGAGGAATACATATAATTATTGACTTGACATTCACAGAACAGATAGTTTCCTGAAAATAAAATTATGATGAAAATGTATTGGGCTGATTCACACACAACTGCTGATTATCTAGTGCTATTAGCTATTCATAAGTTGTTTAGTATAAACTTAATTTTTGGACAGATTATTTGATTAAATGACTTATTTATCATGCAATATGCCCATAATGGGAATTATTCTAGTAAAACGGTGGGTTTGAGAGCCTTTTTGGCCATTGACTTATTGCATAGTATATTTAATTCTCACTTAAAATTTAAGAACCTATGCACAAGAAAAAGTTTAGCAGCAATAGACAGCTTGACTCATATTTTTTTCTATTTTACAAACTAGCAATGCATGCAAGTGCGTTTTGCAAAATTGATAAAGAAGACAAGAATGAATATGGCCTATGAAGGTGGAATTTACGACATTAACGAGATGTAATAAACCATATGGAACATCTTCAAACGTGGCCTATGAAGGTGGAATTTTCTTAATTTCAAATCTAATTGAAAGCTATAGAAAAACTATAAAAAAAAGATTTAACAATGGCCCATGCAGGTCTCGAACCTGCGACCTTCGCGTTATTAGCACGACGCTCTAACCAACTGAGCTAATGGGCCATTTGTTATTAATATTCACATCCTGGTTTACATGTCCTAGAATATTCTTGGAGACAACTCTTCTAAAAGAAGGTTCCAAGAGACTTTCTCGACTTTATCGTATAAGATCCTCATGCATTTGTAAGTCTCAGTCGTATGTATTTCTAGGACATGATTATATTTGGTTCGTTTCATCTCATAAGATTTGGTATATAATGTCATATAGGATGTACCTCTCCCCAATCAATAATTGTTTCCTTTAAAGACTTAGTCGGTAACGCTAATTTATAACTTGTTTCTTGGCATCATGGAGGCTCGGTGATGCCCCTCAGTCATAGGTAAGTCCAGGTTTCCATGGAGATCGATATTAAATTGTTCAATGGTGAAACACAACTTAGCTCAATGTTTTACGACACTTTTATTTAGGAGATTCCATATATGCGTTTGGAAGATAGTGTGACCAACGCCTTGTGTTCTTTATTTTTTTAAGGACCAAAGAGAGTTTATGAAATGTATCGACGTGGTGTACCTTTACTGCGACCTTTAGATCCTTTCCATTTTTTCTTTGTTGTTCCTAGCCTCTGGTCTAAGTGGCCTAGAGTGAGACACACATGTAATGATCCTTGAAGAAATTAAGCTTTAGTGATGATTTTGAGGGAAACATACATATTTAAGTGTGATATGCTGTCACTTAGTTTGTTCGTTGGTGGTCATATGGACTCCAAACTTCTTAATCACTGGATTTAATCTTTTGATATTCTTAAGTTTGATCAAGAGTACTAATAAAAGAGGGATCCTTCCTTCTTTATTTCCTTTCCTTCATCTGCTAGAGAATGCCATCAAAATATCATAAATATATAGAATAATATAGACAAAGAATCCTCATTCCTCTTAAATATGTATGAAGAACTATTATAATCATTTTTTCACAAAACCACACTACTACAAAAAAGACATTTAACAACGGTCGAAAAAGATATATAATCACACAGGTTCAGACGTTGTTATGTAGAGTGTTGTTATAAATGTGTTACTTACAATCACGATCCTAAGACCGTTGTAGTATATTGGAAAGTGTAACAACCTTATAAAACCCCACAGATAATATAAATAAATAATCAGAGTATTTCACCAAAAATGCGTCACGTGCTTCATAAAACATCATACATGCATGTCTTATTCTGTAACATTGGTTTTCAAACAATTATAAAACTTTTACTACGCAGCATAATTCATAGTTCAAAACGTCTTTATTAAACACAACATCAAAACTTCATTGTTCATGGTTCAGAATTCGAAACAACTTAAGTACCATGAAAGGTAAATCAAAATCTCATAATAAAACAAAAGAATACAAGTTCAAAATCAAACGTTCTCGACCCGATGTTACATATCAGAGCAAAACCTTCTAAAATCAATGAAAAGAAAATAACATACTCCAAGCTATCTTCTAAGCTTCTATGAACTACTCCTGATCACATGTGTGTTATCTATGTGGAGGCAACATTCAAATAAAAATGGTGAGTAATCACATTCATTACAAGAGATATACGGAATAGACATAGTAGTTCAAATAACAACATCATATCATCAAAATCAACAACCTTGTCAACACATCATCAATTAACACAATAACATATACAACATTATCTAGTCACTAGCTGATCGAATTTTACAGTGTCGGAAGCAATTCGCTATTGTTTCTTTTCGAACATCTATCGCCTAAGCTTGGATTTCCAAATTGATAGCATCAAGGACATTTATCTTCCCTGGATCAGATTGTCCCACCTCATAACCTTCCAATATTTTGCGGTAAAACCTTCTACGATAATGCATCTTGAAAGCTCTTATTATCCCAGCATCGCAAGGTTGAATCTTTGATGTCATGTTGGGTGGCAAGAAGAACAACTCAATGTTTCTTAGCCCTTCAATATTTCTTGGATGTGTTGGACAATTATCCACCACAAGTAGAACTCTTCTACCATGCATCATTTGGTCAAATGAACGAACATATTCATCAAAAAGCACACTAGTCATCCAAGCTTTTTTGTTAGCTCGATACTGACAATCCAAGCTATTCATGTTGACATTCTTGAAGCAACGAGGCTTTGCATATTTCCCAATATTCCATAGAGAGATTTTTTCAGACTCATCTTCATTGCAACAAATAACTACCGTCAACCTTTCTTTATCTTGTTTTCTTCCTTCAAGTTATTTTGTTGCCAGTGAATGATCAGCTTGTAGCCTATAAAACAATCCAGTTTCATCCATATTGAAAACATCTTTCATAGGGAACTGATCAATTTTCTCCTAGATCGATACCAATTTCTGCTCCGTGTCTTGTACATCAACAGACCCACTCTCGCCAAAACGAAGAAATGACTTTATGTCATGTCGGTGCTTGAATTTCCCAAGCCATCCTATAGAGAAGTTAAAATCTGAATCATCATGAGGGTACACGAGTTTCATTGTATCTCTTGCCTTCTGCAAAATTAATTCTCATGTGATATTCACATGTTCTTAATGCTGGAGAAACCACTCATAAACAACCTTCTCCATGTCAGGATATTTTGCTGGTTTGTGTCTTTTGATCTCTGCTCTTCCCTTTTCTATTTCAGCGTGTTTGATATTGTTCCTTGACTAACTTTCAACTGAAATTTTTCCTCAAGCCATCTCTGCAAGTCTATTTGTGTGCTTGCAGGATTATCTCTCTTGTACTCACAGAACTCCTTGCGTATTTGATCTGACATAGTTGATTTTGCAACACCTTTTAGATGAGAAGTCATCTTGTGAGATATGGTTTGAATACTCTAACACATTCATGTAATTCATATATGTCAAACTTGCTTAAGAATACATTGAACACATTTGTTCCTCTTGTTTATATTTACTGTACTTCAAAAGTCATTACTGATTTTCAATGCATATGAACACAATAGTTATTAATTTACGTTGAGTCCCAAGGTTCGCTGCAACGTAATTCTAAGAGGCATAGGCTAATTTGCCTTTTTGTTTGATATGTACAATATAATTACTTAAAAACTCTTTAAATTAATAATTAATTTATCGATAAATTAATAACTCTCTAAATTAATAAATTTCTCCTGTCCTGACATTATTAATTTAAAGAATTTCTACTATATATGAATTTGTAGACTCTATTTGGCAATGTCAGTATTTAAGCTTATTGCTTATGGTTTATAGCTTATAAGTTGACATGTTTAAAATGAAATTATAAGTAAGAATTGAAGTGAAAGAAGTAACCATGGAAGTATTGATGGCATTGAGAGCGGAGGGTATGTTGAGTAGAGCGATTCTAGAATATTTATTTTCTTCAATCAAAACCTGTCAAAAAAACCAGAGAGAGATTGAACTGAATTGTTAAAGCTATGAAATATGGACTCTGACACGGATACCAATACGAGGATACATTCGATACATGTTAAAAATACAAGACACTAAAACATATAATATATTACTCCATACTGATTTATAAGCAAAAAAAGAACAAATATCGTGTATTAAGATATCAAATAACATAATTATTATTTCTGATTCTATTTATAAAAAGAAAAAAAAGTATTTTTTAAACTTTAAATAAATAATATATTTTATTCATATATTGTCCTGATACATTAGTTATTTAATATATTTAAAAAATTAACATTTTTTTCATAAATAAAAACAAAGATAGTGTTATACCTTAATTAAATTGTCGTCCAATAAAATATTAAATAATGAATATAGGAATAATTTTAAAATATACATCTAAATTTATTAACATAATGACCTTTGCTTATAAATAAATAGAATTATTAAAATAGACTATTCGACCCGTGAAGCAGTGGCCTATAACATGTTTAGGCTTTGTGCAGACTGGACTAAAAAGTTGAATTGATAAACGAAACACAATTTAATTGACCGGCCCTTTACGGGCTTTTCAGTCTGACCTGCTAGGCCCGCCCTGTTTTGTCAACTCTATAAATAAGATATGAGGGAATACATCTATAAAAATATTCTATTTAAAATTAACGTTTTCAATTGTTTATTGATAATATTTTTTAATATATTTTTAATCTTTTTAATGTGTCTGAGATTTATAAAAAAAATGATATCGCAAAGAAGCAAAGAGAAGAGAAGAGAGGAAGGAAGTTACGCAATGGAGGTGATCGACGGAGAGAGCGGGGGTTCGGCTTAGCTGCTTCCGC